CCAACGTGTAAATCATTATTTTTCCCGTTTCCTTTAATGTTAATCTTCATGAAATTTGTGCACCCGTAGTTCTCACGGTATCAAGGATGTACAGTCCTGTTCGCTACGGACGCTGGAGCATTTCAAATGGCTCGGCTCGGTTAGGCGCAGCGCAAGCTGTTCTCAACCAGTAGTGGTAACCGACAGGCAACTGGGCAACTGGTGGAGGCTAGACTTGCGCTACGCCAATCCCCCTCTCATGAAACGGCCCAGTATAAGCAGAGAAAAAGACTGTGAAAATCAGCCGAAGGGTCAACATACAGTTGCAGTAGCTCGGGTAACCATTGCAACCGCTCGCACACTGAAATTCCGTGCTCCTGCCCGTTTGTCAAGAGGATCAGCGGAGAATCGCTGGAAGCTTCAAGCTTGGAATGTGCTGTTCAAGTCATAGTGAGGATGTAGCTTCAAGAGAGCTACGGGAAAAGATATGAAAATTCGGAAGATATTGATCTGGGTGAAACTGAGACAAAGTTGCTGCTTTTGTTCTCGTATTCATTAGGAGAGTCACAATAACAGTTCCAATTTAGCGTCAACTTGAGTGATCCTTGTTTCAAAAAGGTGACAGGCGTTTTTGCTGTTTATTGTTTCTTGTACCTTCGAAGGTAATCCTTTTTCCATGTATAAAGAGCTTCATGGTTCAAAGAACTTGTAAATGACACACCGCGATTGATGAGTGGGCGGAGACCCATAATAATTGCCGCTTCCTTGCACAGTGAAGAGCAGTTTCGCGCCGACGGGAATGACACAACAATCACGAGACTCCGCTCATGTAGTTATCACGCAGAATATAAGTTCAGGCACAACCTACCTAAAGTTCTATTACAGTACATCGCTCGTTGTGACTATGAGGCTGTGTTCATAGTTCGCGACTAGAGCGATTTGATCGCACAATTCAAAAACCGGACCGGGCTACGAGCGACCGCGTTCCACCGCTGATCCTTAAACCGCTTTAACTGCTTATTCAGTCACGTGTAGGATACATCTTCCTCAAACCGCTTCAACGGCTTAACGATTAGCGGTGAAGCGTGGTCGGTCGCAATCGCGCGACTGAGTCTTTCGAGTTCGCGGAGTATGAACGCCGCATAATGAAAAGAAGGCGTCAGTCATAGCAGCTATTGCAGGCCGGGAAATCAGTCAGCTTCTGCGGCCGTTATGGTGTTCATCGATGGTGCGAACGGTTTCGGTCAAGGTGGTTGGGATGAGAGCACTCAAAAAGGCATGGTGCGTAATCTTGTATCACGAGGTGTCGTGGTCGTCACACTTCAGTACCGATTGGGTGCTCTCGGTGAGTCGCTTTTGCTCTTGAAAATAACTTTGTTGATTGCCCTAACCTGCACGAACTTGCTTCGGGCTACGACCAGGTGTTTTGCACAAACCTGCTATCAAACCTTTGATTGCGGCTCATTGTTGAACTGGAATCTGTTGTTGAAAACATCAGTTGCAACCCAGTAATGTCATTAAGTCTGATGTAGTAGAGAAAGGAGCTACTCTTATCCCGCGTACGCTCCAGAGATCAATTCCCAGATCGGTTCCTGCTCAGGGGTATCGATTGGTTGGTGCTAGACTTAGGTTAGAGGATAGAAGTACTGACTTGTAGGTCTTGCTGGTGCATGCAACTCATTGCATAGGCCAAATCGCATTCAAAATGTCCTTACTTATAAGTCGAGTAATTTAGCTACTTTATCCTAGAAATGGCTTCAAATCAAAGGTGAGATATGGAAACACTCAACGATGCCTTTCCATTTCAGGGTTCTTCACTACCTATACCGCCGAAATCCAACCCAACATTGGAATGCTCGACCAGGTGAGAGTTAAAGGCACGGTCCGCGATCAGGTATCGAAGTTGAAAATATGGCGTCAGGAGGTTAGAGTGGTCCGCGACGAACAACCTTGTACCGGTTTCGCGGCAAAAAATTCTAAGGGAGGGGCGCTATAGCGCAATATAGGTTCAGTGGTTCCTCCTTTTTCCAGTGACTCCGCCTCCAATGCCCGGCTTTCAGTGAAAAACGAGATTGCAGGAAGAAAAAGTGTTGTATCAGAGGAATGAACTCTGATAAAGCTTGATACTGCACACCTCTCTTGAGAGCGTATTTAAGAGAGGTGAGCGGTAGGGTTCAGTTTCAGTTTTGTGTGTGGTATACAGCACACTTAAAACTGAAACTGAACCAGATAAACCTTCTGTGCGTATCGTATCGACACTCCCGGAGACAACCCAGAAACCAGGGATCCAACAAAGAGCATGAAAATTGTCACTTGTTACGATCTGTAATCTTGTGAGTGCAACAGCGTGCGCAAGGAAGTGCTACGCGTAGTTGTGGGAGACAGAGTTAACTGGGCACTGTACAAACTGGGGATTGCAATAATGTAGATGCTTGTGAGTGAGGGTGCAATGATGTATTTTCGTGCCTTTATGTCTCTACACTACCTAGCCGTCGCGACGTACTCAAGCCGCCATTGTTCGTCATCGTGGGAATGCCCCAATACCAGTGCGCCGACTACTGGGATAACGGGCGCAATAATTGCGGGTTCTGCCTTAAACCTTGTTTCTGTAATCTTAACGTGATGTTCCCAATACTGCGGATACGGTATTTTTCTCACTATTTACCAAAAAAAAAAAAGAAAAAAGAAATATCATTTCTCGAAGCACATGCTTCTGCCTCGACGTTCTCTACCCCATAGTGACACGCCATCCCGTACGTTGGGATCCTACAGCGAACGGTCGTCTTTGTATTGGTCGTTGTAGGGAATGAGGTTGTTACTGACAAGGGAAGTCGTCAGCGGCGTGGTGAGCTTTCAAAATGTCTTGTGCATCATTGTACCGCAGCACACGAAGGACCAGAAAACTGAGGTTCATTTTCGCTGCGCGCTTCTACGAATAAAAAAAACGTAAAAAATAGGTCGATGGTTCGGATCCCACCGAGGACAAAATTTTGCTTTTCTACAATTTTTCATTTTTTGGATCCATGTTTGTCTAAATAATGGTCCTATAAAAACATTCACGATGAACTGAAGCCAATCTACTTTTATGAGCCCAAAACCTGCTTTTTCACTGTCGAATCGTACTTATGCACGGACTCAGCCTCTTTTGGCACATGCCCCGGTGCCCAGATGGCACTTGAACGGAAAACAAAGTCTAGAATCGTGATCAGGGACTGTCGATACCGCATAGGCGGCAAGTTTTGAGTGGCGGCTGAAATTTTTTTCACTTTTCCGTTGTAGGTGGCCGACCATTTGGTCGGCAGTGTGAGCGGAGTTTCACATCTTCGTAACAGCGATGAAGTATCGTTGACGCTACGGACACCGGACAACCCAATAAGCAAACCCAAGAAGGTCAAAACAATTGTTTTGACTGAAAATTCGTTTTTAGTGGTAATCAGTGGCCTGATCACAAAGTACTACCAGAATCCTTATCTTCGGCGTCCGGCCAATGCTTGCGACTACGAATAGGCGGCTGAACGTTTCTATAGCTTGCGTGCTACACCGCTCTAATGAATTCATAGAAAGCAAGAGTGGCCCAAATTGTCCTAATTGACACCCGCACACCCCCCGAAAGAAAGTTGATCCTCCAAATTCGCAATCAGACTCTACTTTACTAGCCGCCTATGAGGAACAACGTCCACAACGAATCATTGTTCAACGTGCGTGGAAAATCGATATAGTGAATACACTGAACACGAATTACAGCTACTCAGAATGGCCCGCATTAAAATCGCGCAACTATACTCGCGAGGTTATTTTCATTCGCGCAAACAATAAACTTGAAGCGGAGAACAGCCCGACTCTACAAAATGCACAACAAGCCCACGACGCAATGGGACCGAAACCTATGCAACCCCACCCTCACTGTCCGACTGCGAAACCTCCACTCTATCCACTAGGCCATCTCGACCATGCTAGCGCTCTATCGTTGATGAAACCATTGCAAGAGGTCCTTCACACTTGAGCAACATTACGCCAAGTTGAAGCTCACGTTACTTGCCGATTTTTCGCGTTTCGATCGGCCCCTTTTATAAGGACCTCTCCCACTCAGCAACTGGTCAACCGTGTGCAAATTGACCACGCCGCATAGAGGCCCAGAACGAAGCAGATTCCACAGATTTCTTTTCACTCGTTTTTTACCTTTCCTGGAAGCGCGCAGCGAAAATGAAGCACACTTTTCAGGTCCTTGCATGAGCCCCCACAATATGCAAAAAACCGTTTTCGAAAAGCGCACCACGCCCTGAACGACCTCCCTTGTGAAGTAGGTGAAGGTAAGTAGGTATGGAAATGGAGAAGCGAAGGGGGTGCGTTTCTCCACAACGACGAGGAGAAACGCCTTGCTGTCCACATTGACAGGGTGAATAGGTTGCGGTTAGGTATCAACGCGATCAGGTTACAGCGTCGTTGCGAGCATTCTATTAGGGGTGGGTCGTATTTGGTCGATGAGGATCGACCTCCCCTGCGCTCGATCGACACCTTTTTCGAGGGAACTGGGAAAGTTTTTTTGGAAAAGTGGAAAATTAGGTAGATAGTGCAGCCGTTGTCCCTGAAGCTAGTCGAGACGTGGCGCTGTGCCAGCTCCTTTCCCACCGCTCTTTGAACTCACCAAACCGCAACTGCCAATGAAAAACAGGCTGATGCGGCGCCAAAACTTCCGCGCTGCAGACACGCCCCTAGTGATCACACTGATAATGGTTGTAGGTAGGATGAAGAAGGAGAGTAGTATCGAAGGAGGAAATCGCGCAGCAGGTCTCCAATTTACACCGTGATGTAGCACCACAAGCCTTATCGCAACAAGAAGTGTAAAGTTTGTATATATTTTATTCTTATTTATGTTCGTATACCAGCTACATCCTAGTATTCCAGGTAGAAGCGCTACGATGGGTGAAGACAGAAATTGTGAATTTTGGTGGCGATCCAAATCGGATAACGATAGCTGGACAAGGAGACGGTGGTTGTGCGGTGTCTGCACATACACTCAGTCCTTTGAGTCAAAGTAATCAGTAATGATTCATCGGAATTTCATTCAGTAAAACTTCGTACTCGAGACCGATTATAGCAACTCTCTTCAATAGATGTTGCCTTTCAAATAATAGGGTTATTTAAAGACACATGGTACGATCACACATAGTTTGGGTGTGCGTGACTATCAGCCCCCAGCTGTCGAAGCGTAGCGGTTTCCCCGTCCTAACATGCGCAGGAATGGAGATACAGGACCGTGAAACACGCTAATTCCTCCATGCTCCGCCCAATACCTTTTTGCGGCGCAGACTCCCGTTCATGCTAACAGCCGTCGTGTGCGCGCGTGTCGCGTGCGGCTCTCTTGGCACTTTGCCAAGTCCTGTAATTGCGCTTTGGAATACAAGTAAAACGCAATTTCCTGATGCGGATAACATTTGAGGTGTTGCTCATGCTGCAAAGTCCGAATAGAAGGTGATGAAGATGACAAAGGCTAGAAATGAAGAACAACGAATGTAGATGTAAATAAAACAAAATGAAAAAATTAAGGAAATGCAAATTAATTAAAATCGCGTGTAATTTCTGCGATCCGGCGCGAATCCAGCTCCAAAGCCATAAAATACTTTGAACTAACGCTTAGGCCGTTTTTATTTTCATGTTTTTGTCCGAGGGATATTGCAGAAGCAGCACAGTTGCTCTTGAGTTCTGGCCCTCGTCATCATCTTTGGTTCCTTATTTTGCAGCACGTCAATTGT